AAGTATATGGAGTTTGTGTTCTTCATTTCCTCTCTCCAAGATGTACAAAATGAAATTGTCCTTAACATTAACAGATAGTGTAAAAACACTGCCAGCAATGGGGATCTGACTCTACCATGTGATGGTGGTTAACATATGCTAATCGTGGAAAACCATTAATAGTCTTGTTGCAAAAGGCTATGCACTCTATTTCTGAATTGATTTGAGCTGGGTTAAATCATAGGTCCAAACAAAACTAGTGTGTGGTCGGCAATGGGTTCTTCTAAGTTCCAATAACTCAAAATATTTTCATTAAAATCCATACCAAACCAAAAAAGAAAAAAAAGGAAAGAAAACAAACCTAGACCTGATGCCTGGAAAAGGCATTTATGTTTTCCTTTTTATTTTTAAACAAAGCAGAGAGCTGAAAACATCAGAAATAATGAAAGCATATTTTTATTGCTCTGTTCTTACAAGAATGGTTTTTTTTTTTTTTAAATGAAATTGAGTTTAAAACAAAAAATCTTGTTGCTGGCTTGAACCGTTTTGCATTCCAGCCTGGGGCTATCTTTTATTGGTCAAGTTATAAACCCCAGAAAAGGGGGTTTTATAGTGGAAATGCTGACAGAACCCGCACAGTGCTACTGGGTGCCTCTCTAATTAGTCTGAAATCCTGAAAGCTGAATTCCATAATACATGGCTTGTAGTGCAGCAAGACCGCAGTAAGGACCAGTCCCCCAAGCTTGACTTGCACAATCAGGGCTTCCTATGGACCAAAGGAAATGCTCATATTTGCAAGCAAGAGAAAGCTCTTCTGGTCTTCTTATTTGGATATGAAATGGATTAGTCTGATTTTTTTTTGATTGGCTAGCATTCTCTGGCATTTGTATCCTTCTTTATAGACAATGAACTTCCACTTGGGTCTTGCCAATTAGATTTAAGAGATTAGGTTTAGTGTCTAGTTTAAACCCTTCCCATGAAACCTGCTTCTATTCATGTTCAAGTGCTTGGTACTAATGTTGGCAAAGACATCCTCAGGGCACTAAAGTGAATAAAGTTTAGGAAACATATAGCTTCACATATACAATGCCCCCCTGTTTTGGTTTGCCTTCTCTACCTTGCTTTGCCTTCTCTATAGCCTCTATATGCCCTCCTTCCATAGCCTTGAATGATACAGTATAAACACTTGGTGGATGCTGGGCTGCTAGGGCCTGCTCCTATTGAAGCTACAAGCCTCAGTCAACCAATTACTCATCTATGGTATTCTGCCATTTTGGAGAAGTCAGGGGACGTGCAAAAACAAGGTTCTTGAAATTGTTAATGATTATCTAAGATGGGCATATCCTTACAGTAAAAATCCAGGAAAATAAGATGTAAGAAAGACTAAAATTCTCACAAATGATATTCTTGACTGCAATGCTAATACCTTTTGGTTGAAGGGTATGGGCAAGGTATTAACTCCCTGAAAACCATTTCAGGACATTTTAATAAACTTGCAGCCAGTCCACCTTTCTCCTGGAACTTGCTATCTATAGACATAATATTTTTGAGCTAGAAATGATTGTTGAGTAATTCTGTGTCCGGATAGTATAAGAAGACAACACACATCCATGGTAGAGTTGATCTCTTTAAAATAATAAAAATAGCAATAGCAAATACTTACACTTTCTTTTGGTCTCTTTTATTTTGGAGGGGTACATAGTGAAATGTTTACACTCAAGAGTTTCAAATGTTTGTATTATAAATACAGAACTTATAAGTTATAGACTGCTTATATACAAGTGTAAACTGGACATTTCAGAGGAGAAAAATCTTTCAGAAGCCTTAAATGTGATCATTAAAAAAAATAAGTAAAAAAAATCTCCTTCCTTTCCCACCTTGTTTTATAAGAGAGCTAGCTATTTTTAACATGACCTAGATATTTATCTAATTAAAATGATATAAATATAATATATAATAATAAATATAAATATAATTGACCCAGATAAGAATTAGATAAATGTAACTTGGCAAACTGCACATTGGATTTCTCTAGGTCCTATTAGATTACAAATACTCTACTAGTTGCTACACTATAGGTTGAATGACTCATACTTCTTTGAGGTTTAGAAAATCTATAATCACTCAGCCCACAATCCAATAAGCTCTTTAAAAAGCAGATGATTACCTTTTGAATAAGTGTGGATATTGGGATGTTCATGCAGTAAAGAAAGGAAAAAAACAAGGCAAGCCATCAAAATTAATTATGCAATGTCTTATTGAAAAGATAACACTCTAATGAAGCAAACCTTGAAGAAAAGAAATATTGCGTGGTTCATTCACTTCCTAGCATTTAGTTACAAGACTGAACTTGTAACAAAGTACTGAGAGGTTGTGGAAGATGCTAACCAATTTCTCACTCCTTCCTTCTTCTCTGCTGCCCAGAATAGTTTGCTCACAGAAAGTATGGGCAGAACTCAGCAAGTTGATTCCAAGGTTTGCATGGAAGTTAAAAAATAGAAATCAGTCAAGGTACATTTGAAAATGAATAGAGGGGAACTTCTTGTAAAAGGCTTCTTACAGAAATGTAGCAATTTAGATATTGGGGTATTGGCTAAAAGGCAGAAAAATGTACAAGTGGGAGAACATCAAAAACAAAAAACAAAACCCTACTAGAAATAGATACCATGGCAGTAAGGTACTCTGTAGAGACTGCGACAATTTTTAAAATATTCTTGAGAAAATGTTGGATCGATGTGTGAATGTGAAGATTTCTTTTCTCATACAATATGCAAAAATATATTTAATTTGCGTGAAAAATTAAGCTAATAGGATGAAATAAGGAAAATGCCTATATAAAGTGAGATGAAGGATTTGTTAAGTAAAAAGTATAAATCATATTGGAAAAGATGGATGGCTTAAGGTAAATTTAATGTAAACTGGGAAACAAGCTTCAGACTGGGAGAAGACATTAGCAATCTGAACTACTTCTAAGAATTGAGACCCTGTGTGTGTGTGTGTGTGTGTGTGTATGTGTGTGTGTTTACACCTACACATGTACTTATTTGTCAGTGCTGAGAGTATAGAAAATTGGGCAGATATCTAAGTTGAGCAACCTATGCAGAGAAATTCCCAGACCAGGTGTGTTCAATAGAGAATTGGCTGTGCCTATGTGTAAGACTGTACTAGAGCATTGAAATGCTAAAAGTACTGTGAACTAAAAACATCTATCGTTGTAAGCTTGCAAAATGGAATAACACTAGACAGTGGTTAAGATGAATGAATTAGATCTACCTGTATTTATGGATACATCTAAAAAGCAAATAGTTGACTAAAAAAAGCAGTTTGCAAAAATAAACAAAACCCACACACTTTGAGGTTATTGTGAAAATGCACCAAGCACTTTATTTTATTATGAATACTTCTATATACCATGAAATACAATGTATTGTTATCAAGAATAGTGTACATCCCAGAGAAAGGTGTCCTCAGGAAAGCCAATGTGGGGAATAACTCAGTCTACATTTTATATTTTTAAAGGTGTCAAGTAAATGAAGCAAAATGCTGGGATTTATTAAATCTAGACAGTAGATCTGTCATATTATTTTCTGTTCTTTTAGTATATCTGAAATATTTTATAATTAAAAAGGAAAAAGCTCACACTCCTAAATATTAGTTCTTTCTGGTCTATATTCTTGAAACTGGAATGTTTACAATTCTAAGACAATCTGTTGGAACTAGAAAGTACTTAAGAATTTCCATTTCTATTTTAAATCTTGTTCTCTCAATTTTTTCCTTTTATCCTTTAATCTGAAATATTTCACATCTCAGATTTTATTGGATTTTGGGATACTTGCTTACAAATATTAGGGATGGCACTCAAGTTTAAACAAGAAATTCACTTGCATTTCATATAAGACTATCATTTTTATATGTAATTACAATGTGTTTAAGTTAATGGTACAATAAGACACAAATACTAGTAAAATATATATGTGGACATGCAAAAATCTCACAGATAAGAGTGTACAATTAAAAAGTTATCTAAAGACAATATGAATCATTAGGTAAAATAAAATATTTTATGTTATCACAACTTCAAGATAATTCCTTTTTATATTTTACATACCCTTTCAACTTTTTAATGAGAATTCATACATTTAATAAAAATTGAACTAGATTACATAAAATATTTTCTTATTATCTTTAAAGTAGTTACGCAAAGGAGTTTTCATTCAACATGTCAGTTTATGAGTACAGTGCATCTTGATCAATGTCACCCCTTCCAACACTCTTTCCATTTCAGAATATTTTCGAGATGACTTTTTTACTTGCATATAAATAACTCTATATTTTAGTAAATCACTTTTTCCCAATACAATTTATCTAAAGATAATGCTTTGCAGTATTATTTTGATAAAATATTGCTTATTATGAAACAATAATGTTCAGTATACAAAGTGTAAAATAGAAGAATTTTTTAATCTTTCATAATAACAGCATTCACAAAATCAGGTTAATAGTCTACTATGCTTCCTTCCATTCTTGTGTTCAATTCTTGTCCATTTGCAACATGGAGACTATAGCTCTAATTTCTGTAAACTGCCAAAAATTAGCATATTGTAATTTTATCTTTTAGAAAACAATGTTATTATTCTCCATATGATTGAGTGCTCTTTAAAATTTATACTTTAGGGCTGGGAAGGGGGCTCAGTGGTAGAGTGCTTGCCTTGCATGCATGAGGCTCTCGGTTCGATTCCTCAGCACCACATAAGCAGAAAAAGACAGAAGTGGTGCTCTGGCTCAAGTGGTAGAGTGCTAGCCTTGAGCTGAAGAGCTGAGGGAAAGTGCCCAGGGTTCAGGCCCTACAACTGGCAAAACAACAACAACAACAAACTTATACTTGAATGTCTGTACAATTGCCATCAGATAGACTGAATTTAAGTCACATAACCAAGTCTAGTTGTTAGACAATGATAGTATTTCTAACTTCTCATTATCATAAGTAGCACTGTAATAAACTTATAAAGAAATGTTGTCGCTTGCTTTGGCAGCACATACACTAAAATCAGAATGATTCAGAGAGGATTAGCATGGCCCCTGTACAAGGATGACACGCAAATTCATGAGTGTTCCAAATTTTTTTGGTTATTCTTGTTTGTCACTGTATTTGATTTCTACACCCTTTATCTTGTATATAAGTTTATCTGATTTGAGGGAGGGAAGGGGATCACAGAAACGGTGGGACAAAGGGTGAACCAATGCAACAGCGATACTCACTCGACGGTGTGTTGGAAATGAACTTCACTACTTGGGGGAGAGGGAGGTTGGGAGGGGAAAAAGTGGGAGAAAATGAGGGAAGGGTAACACTGTTAAAAATGTACTCATTACCTTACTTATGTAGCTGTAACCTCTCTGTACATCACTTTTACAATAAAATTTAAATTAGAAAAATAACTGTTGATATATATATATATATATATATATGTATATATATATATATATCTGAAATTTTGGTAAGTCTCAGAGATTATGTCCTTACAGTAGCCTTTGGGTCAAAGTATAAGAATCTTTTTAAGGCTCTTAATACTACCAAATTGTTTTCCAGAAAGAACCTGGCAGATTTTGTACCTACAAATAAGAGATATGAGGATACATAAAAGACATTAAAACTTTTATTTTCATATAATCTAGATGGGCACATTAATTTGCAAAATGAATCTTTCCCTCAATTTGATAGACATAATCTTTGCTCATGATTCAAGTTGCTTTGGAGTCCGTGGCTTAAAAGTACTTCTTATGAGACTAAAACATTTTCATAATTGATACATTCATCATCTAACTTGATAAATATCTTTTGAAAGATATTGGAAACTAAAAGAGGAAAAACTGAATGACTTTCTTGTGGTTAAAAATAATAAATTTGGAAGTGTTATAAATTTATATGTAAATTATTAGGGGTGCCTCAAAAAATAGAGAAAAAACATACTTGGGAAAGGAAAAGATTCAATGCATTTTAAATAATATGGACCATAATTGGAGCTTATTTATAAAACATTTTCATTATTAAAACCAAAACATATGGTTGTTTTTCATTAGAGTTGGCAAGTGTTTTTATTGCTTTATAAAAAATTATTGAATTATGCTCTATAAATCTAATCGGCATATAGATTTTTAATGGTATATATTCTCTTTCATTAACTTAGAGCTGTTTTCTATAAACACCAAACAGTGGTTACAGCTCAGAATGAGGGACATAAGGTTAAGGCTAGTTATTTAAAATTTAGACAAATCAAATTTTGAAATATAATTTTAGGATTTTTCAGGTCAGGCTAATTTGGGTGATCTCTGAAACAATGCTTCATTTCAACTTCCACTTTCAAGTATAAATACTACCCACAGGAAAAAAGACGGGGATATTAAGTAGTTTTTAACTTCAGAAGCTAATAAAAGTCTTGAGTTCTCTAACCACATGAATGGATTGTATATACTGTACTTATTCTCCTTCATACCCAAATAGTTACACATTTCACATTTAATTTTCATCAATCTCAATCCACACATCTGTATGGAGATGAAGACCAAAACTGTCACAATTGCTCCTCAGAGTGCTAAAAACAAAATGCAGTTAAGTGTATTTAGTTGTAAGTTGGAATTCGGTACCAACTAGTTCAGCTTCAAAAGTTCATTCCATATAGGGAGATTTAATCAATTGTAGACTTTATGGTACAGGAAAGTAAGAGAACAAAAGATAACAGCCTTTTTTTCCCTTCTTTTTTTTTTTTTTAAGTTGACATTGCCAAAGGAACTCTCTCAGCTATTAACCTCTGTGAGTTCTTAGGGTCCCCTGGCACACCTTATTGATTACTGAGTTTATTAGTTTAGACAAGCAATCAGAGGACACAGCCAATAAGTTGTCAATAGAAACAATTGTGATGTAAGTGCTAAGAAAGAGTGAGGAGACATGTAGACAATGGCCAAGAGTGCTGGCCCTAGAATTAGACTATGTCAGAGTTCAAGTGCTTTGCCCATTATTTTGAGCAGTGGCTATGTGACTTAAAATTCTGAGCCATAATTTTTTTTATCTGTAAAATGAAATGCTTGACCGTAGGATTACTGTTAGGATTCAAGGAGTTGCATATGATAATGGCTGGGACATAAATTAAACATCAAATTTTCCTGGATCAAAGATACCATTGACTGTGTTCTTGGTCAAATAGTAACTTTGGAGAAAAAGGGGACTTTAGATTAAATATAAACATTGAAAAAAACCTGATAATAAGTTTCTGTACTTCATACAGTATAGGTTTGTAACTTGGCCTTTTCAGTATTGAGATAAAGATTCTTCTGTGTCGCTTGATAATTGATTATTATGTGTACATAGTTTTCCATAGCTAACAGTATGATCTTAATCTTGTTAGGACTGAATATTTTGTTTTGATGGAAACAGGTTTCCATCTGCATTGTTAGTCAGAGGAAGTTAGGTTACCTTTCTTGAGATTCAGATGGAAACTCTGGACGGACATTTAGTGCTTCAGAGACAAGTTAAATAGGACAGTATTTGTTGGCTGCTATATGAAGATAAATATAACATGAATTACTAATTTGGAAATCTGAGCAAAACTGTCAAAAAATGTGACTGGAACTCAAGATAGGGAAGGGACAAGAACAAATGTAATTGGTTTGTAAAGATGACACTGGGTTTGATCACTTTTTTTGGAACTCTAGATTCCATATCAGGAAATATTTTTTTTGTTCCCCTCTGGGACAATTACTTTGAAAGGAAGATTTACTCAGAGCAGAACAAGTACATTTGTAGCATTCTTAGGTCTCCCTTGAGTTTTAGAAATTCTAGAAACAGCTGAGCTATATCGTAGTGTAGTGTTGGGCTAGAAAGCTTGCGCATGTACTTAAGCAAACACATGAGTGTAATGAAGCATTGACACACACATCTTCTGAAATTTATTCATGACAGGAAATCATGATGAGTTCTAATTTTACTTTTTGCTCAGCCATTTATTCTCTATTCTGAAATGTAAACCAATGACACAAGCATAAACATAGAAGCTATATAAAAAATGTAATTGTTAAGGCTGAGAAAGAAAGGTGGTAGATAACTAACACCCAATGGAGCCGCGATGAAACGATACTTGCTATTTGAGTACAGACAAACAGTATGAGGAACAAATAGGTTTGATGCCAAAGCAAGATTCCTATTGAGTACTAGAATTCCTTTCAGAAGCTATGCTCAGTCTGGGGATGTATTCTTCAAAAGGACAGAATGGAGAATGTTTGTGAAAGTTCTTCCATGAGGCACTACACAAATACATGACCATTTTTGTTACTATTATATTTGACTAAGAGAAAATATACAATATAGTATATATTGTGTGTGAGACACAGTCTATTCTACCATTTAGGATCTTACACTGATCTGTTTTCTAGGGGAACATTTTTAGTTTTGCTACTTTGATGGTTTTCACATTTCTGGTTATTATGGCTTCTATCATATGTCCCTGAGAGAGTAAGAAAAGCATAAAGTTAGCCAGGTGGTGATGGTTTATGCCTATAATCCTAGCTAACCAGGGGGCTGAGATTTGGAGGATCATAGTTCAAAGCTAGTCTAGGGAGAAAAATGGGATAGACTCCATCACCAAAATCACTACCAAAAGTGAGGATGTAGGCAAGGCTCAAGTGGTAGAATAGCAGCCAAAAAGGCATGCTGAGCAAGCTCTGAGTTCAAACCTCATTGTTTCCAAGGAAGAAAATCAAGGCAAAAGGTTATGGCTTGAAGGTGATTTGAGAAACGTTTTAGAGGCAAAGGGAAACATCAGGAATATAGGGGCAAAACACAAAACTGGGAATAGAGAACTTATTCATTAGAATAATTTACCCATTAAAATGTAAAACAATTGATAATTTGATTAATTTGAGCAAGAACTATTGAATTAAATGCCAGTTAAATACCAAGCATTGCCAGAGCTTGACAATTCTGAAATGAAAAAAGTTCCTGAAATGATATTAAATGCTGATGGTTGTCTTGAGTTCCCTAATGGGAAACAATACTTATTTGAAGCAGACAAAATGGGTATGACTGGTGGACAGCATATTTATTCATATGTCTTCTTTAAAGGGGATTCTTCTGGCTTCATGCATGGTCTGAAGACAGCCAGAGACACTATTTTTACATAAGATGTGATATGTTGGGTCACTGGTCAAGTGGTTGATCATGTGTCAGTAGTGGTGCTTAGCTGTAATTTTACAGGCTTTTTTCCCCTCTAGCCATGTCAAAAAACACACAAGTTTGAGAAATACACAGCATTATTTATTTTGAAAAATGGACAATCCTATCTCAGTCAATGAACTGAAGGAGTGGCATCAGGAGTTTAATCGTGGCTTACTGTAGGACAAGGAGATATGACAGAAGTCATTCATTTATGGGAGCCACAGAACAAATGGGGAATGGAAAGCTGCTGCCATTGGTCTAAGGTTGTGAAACATGTTTAACACATCCAGGCTACATTGGTAGTAGCTGAGGAATGCTTGCTCACCCAGCAATTGATCTATAAGTTCAGGGAAGATTTTATTCAACAATGTTGTGAATAGCCAAATGTTGCCAGATATTTTCCTGAGTTGCTGAATTTCAGAAAAATAACTAGGGCTAGGAGAACTTAGGACCTTGCAAAATGATATAAGGGGAATATATGTCTGCCAGGGAATGGTTGGCTTCCAAGAGATTTCACAATATGGCATTCACTACTTGGGTGGATTTTTATGGCCTTGAGACTGAATCTCATTTCCACAGGCTTAAAATTTTGATAGAGTAGATTCCTCTATCAGATCTGAGTTCATGGTAACTAAGTGCACATGATTGATGTATAAAAAGCATAAAGAAAATTTGCCGATTTTATTGGCAGTGAAAATGTGTCTGTCTCCAGAGTGAATCTATTTCTAGTTTAGGAGAAATGCAATTTCTTTTCCCCTTTAAGAAACTGAGTTGTGGTCAGAGGTGGCTTGGTGAATATTGAATCAAAACAAAGGGAATTCAACTTAACATATGTTTGATTATGTCATATCAGTGCAGATTGATGCACAAACTTGCAATAGAAATGGTCTTGCTCAGAGATCTGAAAATCTACAATCAT